CTCTTTGTCATGGCCCTGTTGCCTTAGTTTTTTCTTGATGGGCTGTGCATCAACTACAATAAACCCTTTTCTTCAAGTCCAGGATCAGTCCTCTCATGAGGTGGACTTCACATATCTGACAGACCCAGTCACAGGACTTACCAGTACAGCAATAGAAATCCTCAAAAGCCCCTTACCTGGTTGACCAGTTTGCTGCCTATTTCCCTGTTCTCTTTTTCCTTCCCTTGCCCCATCCCCCTTCCAGTAGGGCTAGGACCAGGGAGGAGAAGGTACAACCTGACCTTGGAAGAATAAGAAGTTCCTACTCCCTATAAGGTGTAAATGTACTCCATGGTTTGATGGCTTCACATGCTGCCCTATGAAACACCCTAAGCCAAGGCCAAGAATGTGGGGGCACTTGAACAATGCATGCCACCCTTGCCTGCTCACTGTGAGCTGTGCTCCCAGGGGAAGGTTTCAGTTGCAGGACTTGGTAATTGGGTCAGAAGGCTCAGGTGAGAGCAGGTCCTGCCTTGCTCTGAAAGTGCCAGAGGCTGAGTTGGGTTTGGGTTTTTCCCATGTGTTTCGAGTCTGACTGGGGAGAGAAGTGGTGTTAGGGGCCACCCGCTCAGTTAACCTACTTCAAGTGGGAGGCTTCAGCTGGTTTGGTTTCAGAACTGAGATCCAGGTAGGGATGTTTCTGGGTGTAAAGGTGACTTATTTGTCTTCCTGTCCTCAGTCCGTGGTGGGGCTTGAGTAGTTCCAATGCAGATTTCCTCAGGAAGGAGCATCTGATGGAAAACATTGGGCTTTAGTGTTTAGTAACTAACACAGTGCTTGGCACACGGTAGCTGATGAACAAATATTTGTTGAATGAATGTTGTTTTTCTAGGTGTTCCTTTCTCATTTTAAGTAAAAACAAAATAAGATCACCAAAAAATCCAAACACAATATCCCAGGCAAACAATTCTCCTGTGACTGTTTTTACTTTTAGGCACTCAGTCTGGGCAGTCCTTTGTTTTCTGCTGATTGCCGGCCGCTGTTGAATGTTATCTGCTATGTCCATGTGTTTTTATGAGAATCAATAGCAGACTTTACCCAGGCCGGCTCCTGCAACCAATCGGTTCACTCCAGCCTCTGTGGGGAGGCTGTCCTGGCTGTGCAGGCTTGTCTCATGACTGTTTTTAGTACTCTAGAGTTAGGAACTGTTGTATTTGATTATTCTAGGGGTTTTGAGCTTACCAGACTCAGGTGCTGGGAAGTGTTCTCAGAGCCATTGACTCCCATGTTCCCAAGCCTTCTCTCAGATACTGGATTGTCGTGTGGATAACTAGCTGAGACCCCTTTTTTTTGGCACAGTGTCGTTTGGGTGGCCCAGAGAAAGGAAATCTGCCTCGAAGCCTGGCCCTTCAGATTCTCGTGGACACACTGCCTGCTCGTCCATGTAAGTGAGGACTTTGGAATACAGGACCTGCCCCTCACCCACTTCTCTCTCACCATGATGATGTCATTTCTTACTGAAATATTCCCATTCACCTTTAGTTGTCTCGTTTAAAAAGAACGTACTTCAGCTTCTTGCCTGTATACTTGCTCTTTCTATAACTTTTTTCTCTCCTCTTCTGAGGTGGGATTGAAAAGAGCAATTTCACTTCTCTTCCTAAGCCTCTGGTACTTCAGGAAGGACTGTGTTCCAGCAAGGATGACAACACCTTTTTATTTTTCTGCTTCAGGATTTAAATAGAAGAAATGTGATCTTCTTGCATGATAAGTCTCATTTGGCTAGAGCATGCAGTATAAATGGCTTTGGAATAAGAATCAAAAGAACCTTTTAACCCCTTTTCTTTTCTTTCCCACTTGGCACAGTTTATTCCCATATTTAGTTTCTTTGCTGTAATCTAGTGAAACTGTAGCTCTATCATACAGGAATGGTGGCTGGGAAAAGTTCCCAGTGGCTGGCCTAATTCTTCTGTTCTCCCTGCTTCTCACTACCCCCTCCCCAGATCATGGCCCTTCACCCCCGCAGAGTCCGGCTGAAGCCCTGGCTGGTGGCCCAGGTGGATAGTGGCCTGTACCCTGGGCTCATCTGGCTACACAGGGACTCGAAACGCTTCCAGATTCCCTGGAAACATGCCACCCGACATAGTCCCCAACAAGAAGAGGAAAATACCATTTTTAAGGTAAAGAACATCTTTTACCACCTGCCTTGCCTTTTTTGCCAGTTCTTTTCTGGATCTGTTTGTTTCTACTTTGGCATGGGGAATACACTAGATCCAAAACTCTGATGAAATGTAGAGAATGTTAATGATGGGGGTGCCCAAACTTAGCAGGTATAGTAATTCTTCCCTCTGGGGCACGTCTATAAAGGTTGAAGCTCTTTATTCTTTCCCCTTGGTCAAAGGTACTCAACTCACATCCCAAAGGATCTGAGGTGGGGGTGGCTAAACTCCTGTAAGTGGTTGCAGAGATGTGGTTGTTCTGGAAGTTACCAAGGGTCAGCAATTAACTGCTCCTCTTCATTCACTCAGGGGTCTTGCTATAAAGAGGGGTACTTGGGCCTGGGAATGGCTATCTAGGCCAGGGCAAACCGTGGGGTATTAAAAGGCTCTTAACATAGTCTGTGGGATGGGCGTAGAGGGCCCTCAGCAAGTTTTTCTTTTGATATTAAAATATTTGCCCATACAGAAATAAAATTTAAAAAATATATATTTTGCTCATATTTATAACCTCTGCTTAAAAATTAAAGGTGATTTAAATATAAGTTTTTATTCCACAAATATGTTTTCTTAAATAAAAAAATAGGTCTTATGTGATAGTTATTTTATTTAACTGGAAACAAATTGCATAGCATTTTATAAAATGTAAGTGACACCAAAACTTGACTTAAGATAGAAGTAGGTGGGCAGCTGGTGTGGGAAGGAGTTTCATGTGGTTTCTAACTCTGGAGGCTGTGCCTCTGCTCCAGACCAACTTCTCTCTGCTGGTCACTTCTGTCTCACGAATAGCTTAAGTTCCTGCAGCCCCAAGACACGGAGAATTGAGTGTGCCCTTTTCTTCACTGAGTATATGCCTGAAGTCCAAAGTGAAATCCAGTCCCAAACCTGGGCCTCTTAAGATTGATGTCCCAGGTTCTTGCTGAGATTGGATCGGAAAGGGCAGAAAAGGTGGGCTCAGGGCTCAAAGGAAAGCCATTCTGGCCATGTTTCCCAGTTAACTTACTTATGTCAGGTGTTGAGAGGGGAGCAGAGAGAAAAGGGGCCTGAGGGTGCTTAGAAAGAAAGTAAATGAGTGCTCTTAATTTAGTATTAAATAATATAACAGTGATAAGGAAAACATCTGTAAACCAGCATCAGTTGTTGGAGTTGGCATTGAGAAGGAGATGGGCCTGCCTTGGCCCAGTTGGCCTTCTCCTGTGGCCCTGGTCTGAAACTGGATTTGCTGCTGAAGCATCTGGCAGTGGCTGCCCATTGGGAAGAGGCTAGTCCTGAAAGCCCTAGTTGTGAGGGTGACTTGCAGGCCTGGGGCTTGTGGGAAGAGTGGCTGTGGGGAGGCTGCTTGGCTTCGTTTGCATCATATATCTGTTTGCAGAATGCTGAGGGAGGGCCTAGAAAGTCAGGAGAAGAGGGAAAGTGCTTCCACAGACCTCAAGCTTTGCTGGGTCTTTGCGATGTGCAGGTAGGGAATAGGTGCCTGTGTTCATGATCTCATTTAATTCTCACGAAAACTCTAACAGGGAGGTATTACCCTCAGGTGTAGATGCAGAAGCTGAGTCTAAGAGTGGCTGAGTAACTTGCTAAAATCACCCAGCCAGTAAGTGGTGGAGTCAGGATTTGAACATATGTCTCTTTGTCTGGTTTTCGCCCTCAATCAGAGTGCCCCTTCTGACCAGGAATTGGAAGACCTGGCCTCAAATCCTACTACCATCAGCTGCATGTGTTGTCTTGAGCAAGTCATGTGACTTCTCTGGGCTTCAGCTTCCCCTTCAGCAAAATGGGGATGAAACAGTCTTGTCTGCCTCAGACTCTTGTCTGAGAATCAAGTGAAGGGATTTGTAAAGCACCGTCAAATGCAGAGATTATCTCCATTTTAGGAAGAAAAATAAGGACCCACACAATGATCAGAATCTCTCAGAAGCAAGACTCAGGATGGGTTTCAACAAGTAATGTTTATAAATCACAGTGATTGGCACATGGTACCTTGTAGGCCCTCCTTTCTTGACCCTAACGTTCTAATCATAAAGGGTCAGCCTTGGGTCCTCGGTCCTGTCTGAGTGGGCCCTGGGGGATGGCTGTGCAGTGAGCAGGAAGGCTGGGGCTGTGGTGCTGTGCTAGTCTGACTACTCTCTATAGAAAGACAGGGCTTTAGGGAGCCACAGAAATTTGCAGGCCTCTGCCAAAGTCTGTACAGCCCGAGTTGGCTGATTGGTGCAAGAGTGAGCATGGGCACAGAGGATGAGACAAACATAAGAGAAAATGTGGGGAGGTAGCAGCCAGGTACCACCAAGTAACTGGAGATGTGCCTCCCAAACTCTAGGGACCAGTGAAGCTGAAATCTCCCTATAGGCAGTTGGATGAATGGAGCAGCAATTAGGCCCCGTAGTGCCTGTGAAGCCATGTAAGGCAGCACAGCTTTGTCAGACCTTTTCATTCCATACCACAAAACAGAGGAACCCAAATCTGAGAAGATGGTAAGAGGAAGTCAGTCTCAGTTGGAGGAGGATTTAGATTAGCTCTTGGAAGAAACTTCCTCATGATTGTGAGGCTCTGCAAGGAGATCAGAAATCTCAATATACAAGGCAGAAAACTCAGCTTGAGAAAGAAGTCTGTAGTCAGGATCAGAGGCAGAGAATTGGGTTTGGACAAGTGATATGCCCTGTTAGCTGAAAACAGTTGGTGTGTGCTCCCTGTCTTGAGTTCTCTGCTAATGATATCTCGTTTTTCTGCATCAGAGCATGTCACACTCGTGAAGAAAGCTTAGCAATCAGAACATATGTTAGCAGTGGGGAGAGTAGATATCCTGTGAGCACAAACATGAGTGCGTGTCAGACCTGGAAGCAGGCCTGGTTTCTACTTCCTGCTTTGTTCTTAAGGACCTTGGTCTATGCTGTGTGCAGCCTGGGTCTTCCTTTTCCTCATTGGGAAGCCTACCTTGTTCCCCTTGTGTGGGGAAAGTGCTATGAATTCCCATATTTGAAAATCAGAAAGTGGGAGTCAAAGTGATTTTAGTCTGTGCCACCAGCTACTGGTGTGGCCGACAGATGTTGTTTCTAATGGGGTAGTAGTTTGAGGGAATAGAGAAAGGGATGGGGTGTGGATTTGTTATGACTTGAGACTCTGAGCCAGTGGGGCAAGCTGAACTCCCAGAGTGAGCTTCCTCTCCTCCTAAAGGCAATTGGTTTCTACCGTTCTTTACTTATGCATCAAATTGAAGACTAGAGGAATGGGACCAGCAAGGCCAAGGTTTTCATATCATTTGCCATCTCCTTCGTTGTACTTATTTTTGTATAAGTAACTCATTTCAAAAACAGATAAGCAGGGCCGGCCCGGTGGCGCACTGGATAGTGCGCCGCTTGAGAAGCGCGGCGGCGCTCCCGCCCAAGGGTTCGGATCCCACATGCAGACCGGTTCCCGCTCACTGGCTGAGCGAGGCGCGGGAGCAACACCGAGGGTTGCGATCCCGTTGCAGGACACGGAAAAAGACAAAAGACAAAAAAAAAAAAAACAGATAAGCAAAGGGCTGGGCCGTTAGCTCAGCTGGTTAGAGTGCAGTCTTGTAACACCCAAGGTCACAAGTTCAGATCCCCCTACCGGCCACCTGCTCTCCCCAATCCCCCCACCCCCCAAAACAGGGAAGCAAAAAAAAAGTTACCTGAAATTCTGCTACCTAGAGTGACCATTAGCATTTTGGTGCATTTCCCCTCCCAGACTTTTCTTTGTTTTTAGCCCTTCATTAAAGCAATGTCATCTCGACAGGTGCTGGTACCAACACTTGAGATAAGGCTCCTCGCTTTGGAAGATTGTGTTTGCACATGGCTTAATTTCCCTTAAGGATGCCCTGCCTGGTCCTGAGGGCAGTGTTTCCAGCAGCGGTCTCTGTAAATTGGGGTTGGGATGGTGGGGCAGTCATACAGGGGTGTGTGTGTGTGTGTGTGTGTTTGTATGAGAAAGAATGAGCACACATTCAACAACATCTTAGAATGTAAAAAAAAATTAATAAATAAGTAAACTTAAAAAAAAAAGAATGAGCACACATTTTGCAGTGGTTATGGGCAGTAGTGAACACTCAGTGTGGTTTTCCTGTTCCTCAGGCCTGGGCTGTAGAGACGGGAAAGTATCAGGAAGGGGTAGATGACCCTGACCCAGCTAAATGGAAGGCCCAGCTCCGCTGTGCTCTCAATAAAAGCAGAGAATTCAACCTGATGTACGATGGCACCAAGGAGGTACCCATGAACCCGGTGAAGATATATCAAGTGTGTGACATCCCTCAGCCCCAGGGCTCGATCATTAACCCAGGTGAGGCCCCAGTGCTGGGGAGAAGGTGGGCACTATGCCAGGTTCTGGGCTGGGCTCTTAAAGAGATAGTCAACTTGAAAGCAGCCTGGTTTACAAAGTTTAAGACTGGTAAAGCAAGAAAGCCTTTTCCTAGGAAGGACCCAGAGAACAAAAGATGTAAACTCAGCAAAATCTTCTTGCTCATTTAGGGGAATGGTAATTAGCCTGATTGCTTAAAGCATGAGAAAGTAGAGGGAGTATAGAGTTCTGCTGTAAAAATAGCCTTTCTTGGGACTTGAGAGGCCAAGTAGTTTTGAAGGAGGAGGAATCAGAACTTAGAAGGTTTGGGGCCGGCCCCGTGGCACACTCGGGAGAGTGCGGCGCTGGGAGCGCAGCATCGCTCCCACCGCGGGTTCGGATCCTATATAGGAATGGCCGGTGGCCGGTGCGCTCACTGGCTGAGCGCGGTGCGGGTGACACCACACCAAGGGTTGTGATTCCCTTACCGGTCACGAAAAAGACAAAAACAACAACAACAACAACAGAAAACAAACAAACAAGAAGGTTTGAGTTCTAATCCTGGCTTTTATCACTTTACTGCTCGTGGGACTTGAATCAAGTCATTTGACCTTTTGAGCCTCAGTTTCTTTTTTCTTTTTTTTTTTTTTACTGACCGGCAACGGGATCGCAACCCTCGGTGTTGCGCCCGCACCGCGCTCAGCCAGTGAGCGGGAACCGGTCTCCACATGGGATCCGAACCCTCGGCGGGCGGGCCGCCGCGCTCCCAAGCGGCGCACCCTCCCGTGCACCACCGGGCGGGCCCAGAGCCTCAGTTTCTTTTTTCTTTTTTTTTGTCTTTTTTTTTTTTTTACTGACCGGCAACGGGATCGCAACCCTCGGTGTTGCGCCCGCACCGCGCTCAGCCAGTGAGCGGGAACCGGTCTCCACATGGGATCCGAACCCTCGGCGGGCGGGCCGCCGCGCTCCCAAGCGGCGCACTCTCCAGTGCACCACCGGGCGGGCCCAGAGCCTCAGTTTCTTAACTCTAAAATGTGGGATCTCATTTTTCCTGCCTACTTCAAAGGCTGCTGTAAGAATCAATTGACATGACATGTGGAAGCTATTAAGTTCTTTATAAATGTTGGCTGAGTGATCATTTAATTTGTAGGATATTTTGCTAAGAATACCCCTGATTTTCCTATTTACTCAATGCTTAACAAGTATTAAGGACCAGATAATTTAGACTTGTATTCCAGTGAATTCAGTGAGGCCCTGCCATGAGGGGAGGAGTCTGTTCCTCATATTAAGCTTACAGGGGTGAGAAGTTGATGTCCTCGAGTCCTTAAAAGGGATACTAGTGTGTAGGAAGTTAATGTGTAGGTATGCTAATGTGTCAAGAGATTTCTAGAAGGGAGTAGGGTTTGCAGCTCCTGCACAGGGGAAGAAAGGAGATCTTGCATTGGGACTCTGTAGGAAGAGTTGGAGCTAGGAGTTCATGTACCCTTGGATCCCATTCCTTTTAGCTAGGGCAGTGAGGGTGCATACTGAACCCAAGGAGCCTCTGTGCTAGCAGTCCCTAGCATGGATGGTGAGACTGGTATAGGGATAACAGTGCAACCTGAACCGGTCACCTGCAGCCTTGTGTGTCTTGGGTAGGATCCACCGGGTCTGCTCCATGGGATGAGAAGGATAATGATGTGGATGAAGAAGATGAGGAAGATGAGCTCGATCAGTCACAGCACCATGTTCCCATCCAAGACACCTTCCCGTTCCTGAACATCAACGGTGAGTGGGGGTAGTAGGTGGTACAGAGGGATAAGGAGGATGTAAGGGGCTTTGACCTTGGAACTGCTGACCCCTCAGCCACATGGCCCTGGGAGCAGGATCAGGCCCTGTGGCCGGCCTGCTGGTCTGTTAGCAAGTAGGAGCCATAAGCAAGGGAACAATGCCAGCTCGGTTATCCCAGTGCAGTGGGATGTGTTCTAAGCATAGAGAACACCTTCTGAATCTTATGTGATAATTCATGACATAAAAAAATCTAAACCCATTCTCAATCCCACATACAAATATATCAGTGGTTATAAATTTTGACCATTTCCTTCAGGCTGGGAGCAGACATTTTGATGAAATGTAGGCACCCTTTTCCACTATTTCCCTTGGTATCAGTTCTGTATCACTTCCTTAACAGAGACCACTCTGCTTAAGCTGTATCATGGGCAACTTGGCTCTGATAGGATTTATCTGCAGGAGACTTTTCTCTTCTTTTATGGACATTTGAATTCAGCTTCCCAGGAAAAATGAGTTGCAAGGTTGGGAGGCCACTGTATGAGAGAACAGGTACTGAATCTCCCACTGCACATCCTGAGGACACTCAGACAAGCTGAATTGCTCTTCTGCAGCATCTTCACTTCATCTGTCCACTGAAGTGCTCCTAGTTAAATCACTTGCATCAGTTGATCAACTTTTTTTGTTGCCTTTTTGGTACGTCTGGCTGCTATGGGTCAAATGAGATAACTTGTGCCACCTAGAATACTTAATATATCAAAATGATTTATTTAGGATTTGGGGGTACTCTATTCTAGGTGATGCCCCTACCTTTGAGAATCAGGAAATGACTCTTATTGCCTATTTACTGGCCCTCCTTCCCTTATCCTGCCATTTATATCTTTGCAACCAAGTGATGGGTAAAGAAAAATTTTGTAGAGATCTTCCAGGTTAATACCGCCACGTGCTATATTCACATTTAAGGAAATTTTAAGAGTTGGACATCTGGAAATGTGGGATCCTTTCCCAAATCCTTGGCTGACTCATTCTGTTATTCTCAATCCTTAAAAGGTTGCAACTTATTTCCAGTATCCTGCTGTCCTGTTTCTGTTCATATTTTATTAAAGCCAATACTGTGTGTCCTTGTGTTATGGGCTGCCTTGATCCTTTTTGGAAAGTTGTGGAATATATATTAAAAATAAAAAAGTAAAATGGGTACATAGATTTAACCAGACTTGTACACAAAAGGTCAAAGAAACATTAAACTTCTGATTTCAGAGCTGTTGGGGCAGAGGAAGAAGAATTGTTGAAGAATAGATGACTAAGAAGTGAGGCTAAGAGGAGAAATCTGTAGACTTTGGAGCAAGCCAACTTTGACAGTAGCAGGGAAATAGGATAGGTTTTTCACTCTCTTTTTTAGAAGCTTTAATGGGATACTTTTGAATAAATAATACTTTTACATGGTTTAAAGTTTATAATAGTACACAAAGGTAATCAGTTGAAAGGTTTTCCTTTCATTCTGTCCTGGAAATGTCTAGTTCTTTCCCTGGAGACCAATCTTTCCAGGTTCTTCAGTATCTTTCCAGACACTTTATGCATGTAAAAGTATTAATTTTTAATGAAATTTCTGTACATTAACCCTCACTTGAAGCTAATCAACTAATTCAGTTGAGTTCATTTTATGGAATACAATCAGCTTCTATTTAATTGCTGGGGCCAAATTTTGCAGCAGGGAATCTCTCACTCATGTCCATTCTAATTTAACCCCTAGAGAAAACTCCCTTGTGTATCTGTTAATCTTCAGCAAACACAGGTTTTCGAACTATGAGTTTATGGGAGAAATAATATTACAAAGAAAGAGCCAGGGAGCCTTATTTCTTATTGTGTTAGTTGCAGGAATTATTGATGGGCTGGGAGATCACACTGTGTCATAGTCCATGGTTTGATTCTTGTCTGCTAACCTGGTTAGTTCTTAGAACCTCAGACCAGGTTTTGCATTGTGTAGTGCCCCTTCCTGCTCACCCACGTCCTTCTGTTTTAGGTTCTCCCATGGCGCCAGCCAGTGTGGGCAGCTGCAGTGTAGGCAACTGTAGTGTGGGCAACTGCAGCCCTGAAGCAGTATGGCCCAAAACAGAACCTCTGGAGATGGAAGTGCCCCAGGCACCCATACAGCCCTTCTATAGCTCGCCAGAGCTGTGGATCAGCTCTCTCCCAAGTAAGTGAGCCCTGATCTTTCTTGCTGGGTCTTTATCTCCTATTACAGTCCCTTTCCTGTCCTGCCCTTTGCCTCTGTTTCTTTGCCATGTATAGAGTAACTACCTGTCCCACAGGCACCCTCTGTATCTGGTTCCTGGCTGGCTGATGAGTCAGCAGGGAAGAAGTAAAGAAACATTGGCCTACTTGCCCATGGCGATGCTCTAATTGGTTAAGTTCCAGGTTACTCACCTTGCAGGTGGGCAAGAGGCTGGGGTTTATCAGTCTGGCTAGGGGATTTGGGGACAATGCCAGTTGTGGGATAGAGAGGTTAATGGCATAGATTTGGTCAAGGAGGCACTTGAATTTTGAGGGGCTTTAGGACTCGTAGGAAAAAATCTCTTTATGAATTTGGTACAGATTTATCTCAATGAAGAATCAGTGTCATTGTCCCGGTCTCCCTTTCACACTATACCTGGTGGGCGCGTGAGTGATAAAATTCTGTCTGAGAGGCTAAGTAGCTTTGATAAGGCCTGTTGGGTTAAATGGAGACTTAGTGAGTGAAAATTCACTTTGCTGTGTCCTTTTATGGTATATTGTTAGAACAGATCCACAGTGCACGCCCACATCTGTAATGTTCAGAAAGATGGCTTGATATTTCTTCTTGTTCCTGTGGTTTCTTTAAACAATGAGCTAAAAATAAGAGACAAACCAGATACCATAGTTTTTAGCTTCTTCCAGTGCCTGTTGATGTGAACACTCAGTGTGAGGTGGGGATAGCAGGACCCTGCACTTAACTTGGTGACATTCTAGCCCTTAAGGTGTGGTGATTGAACAGAGATAGTCTAGATGGACCTTGAACTGTTTGCTTTAAGGCAGCCTGTTCAGTGAATATTCCAGGGATATGCTGATGTCTCCCTTTATTGCAGGAAGGATAACTATGGCAGTGGCCTTCCTGAATGCTTGATCTTGATGGACTTGGATGAGTTTTAGGGATGGACAGGCAGAGCAGTGGAACAGGACTCTCACTGTCATCTCTCACCTTGCAGTGACTGACCTGGACATCAAGTTTCAGTACCGTGGGAAGGAGTATGGGCAGACCATGACCGTGAGCAACCCCCAAGGCTGCCGGCTCTTCTATGGGGACCTGGGCCCCATGCCTGACCAGGAGGAGCTCTTTGGTCCTGTCAGCCTGGAGCAGGTCAAATTCCCAGGTCCAGAGCATATCACCAATGAGAAGCAGAAGCTGTTCACCAGCAAGCTGCTGGACGTCATGGACAGAGGACTGATCCTGGAGGTCAGCGGTCATGCCATTTATGCCATCAGGCTGTGCCAGTGCAAGGTGTACTGGTCTGGGCCATGTGCTCCATCTCTTGCTGCCCCTAACCTGATTGAGAGACAAAAGAAGGTCAAGCTATTTTGTCTGGAAACATTCCTTAGTGGTGAGTATTTTTTTCAGAAGGTCAGTAGTGGGAATTGCTCCCTGGAAGTATATCTTCTTCCATTCCTCCCTTTCTCCTTCCTTCTTTCCTGCTTGCAAAGGTCTTAAGCAAAAAATTACTTCTGGAGGAAGTCAGGGGAGAAGAGAACCTTGGTTCTGAAAAATGAAAGTGACTTAGGCAATGAAGAAGAGAGTTCCATTCCCAGGGAATGTACTTGGAAGCTATTTTTTGGTTGGTTGTGGTTCCTTCAGTGGTAGGAGAGAGAGACAGCCTTGTCATTCCTCTCCAGATGTTACCAGCTTATGTTAAAGATAAGCATAAAGTTAAATTTGGAAGGTGACCCTGTTTGTCATATTTAGCAAAACACATACTTGTTTCTTTTGGGAAATATCTGAGTGGTGAATTCAAGCAGACAATTTTAGGGAGAGCACTGAGATGGGAATTTTGCAATGTGGTTTGAATCCCAAGTCTAGATCAATGATGTTCAATAGCATCCTCTGAAATGATGGAAATGTTCTGTATTTGTACTGTTCAATATGCTGTCCACTAGCTGCGTGTGGCTATTGGGCATGTAAATGTGACTAATGTGCCCAAAGAACTATTTCATTGTAATTAATTTAAAATTAATAGGCACATGTGGTTAGTGGCTACTGTATTGGACAGCATAAAAAATTATATTTACTAAGTGGATATGGAATGACCCAGTATACCAAACTTGCTCTTCTGTGTTCTGCAGATCTCATTGCCCACCAGAAAGGACAGATTGAGAAGCAGCCACCATTTGAGATCTACTTATGCTTTGGGGAAGAATGGCCAGATGGGAAACCTCTGGAAAGGAAACTCATCTTGGTTCAGGTGAGGAGATAAGGGTGTGTCAACAACTCTTCTTTTTTCCAGTGCTTTAGCCTCCAGGTGTGCCTTGAGCCCTGATGAAACATCCAGCAGACACAGGCTTTGTAGAGTAGGACCAAGCTGGGGAATATGAGGTCCTTAAAGTGGGTGACTGATTTAGTGGAGAACTTATCTTTCATTTTCTTACTGACATTAGAGTCTTGCTGAAATCTCACAGGATATGACACTTTCCTGCTTTTCTTATAAAAAACCTTTTGAGTTGCTTTTAAGAATGTAACCTTATTTTAGGAAGTGGTAGCAAGGCAACTTGGATTTGGACCCCGGAATTGTACAATGAGGCAAGCAATAGATGAAATTTGGTTAAAAGTCTTGCTAAGTAAGCAGTCATTTATTTTGGCATGTGATGTTATGCTACATATAGATTCTTTACCTTCATTTGAATCAACTTCTAGAGTGAAACTTGGCAGGATGGTTGAGAGAGATGATGTATCCTGTATCTAGGCATTAGAGTTGGAGGTTTCCCCTGGGCCTCACAGATCTTCCTTCAATCTTAGGCCCCTCCGGCTGCTTTAAAATACCTTTTCCTCAGTAGATACCCATGTGCTCTGTCCTGAACAGGTCATTCCAGTGGTGGCTCGGATGATCTACGAGATGTTTTCTGGTGACTTCACACGATCTTTTGACAGTGGCAGTGTCCGCCTGCAGATCTCGACTCCAGACATCAAAGATAACATCGTTGCTCAACTGAAGCAGCTATACCGCATCCTCCAAACCCAGGAAAGCTGGCAGCCCATGCAGCCCACCCCCAGCATGCAACTGCCCCCTGCCTTGCCAGCCCAGTAGTCACAAATGCCATCTTCTTCGTTTTCTTTTTTACAATATTGTACATATGGATATTTTTTATTATTCAGATTTAACCAGCTTTTAAATCTCTCTTCTTTCTAACAGTATTAGAAGTCTATGACTCTCCAAATATGCCTAGCTTTAAAAGTTGATTTAATTTATGGAAAAATCACCCTTCAGACTTTCCTTTTCTTTTTTAAACCACCTGATGGTAGCAAAATGTAGTCAAAGGAGATTTGGCCTGAGAGTTTGGACACCAGAGTTCTAGCTGCAGCTTGGCTTCTATTGTGATCTTGAGCAAGTCATTTAACCTCTGGGCTTCACATATATCACTTGTAAAGTGAGGGGATTGGAACGATGCCTGCAGTTGCATCCAGCTTTAAAACTCTGACTTGATGACGTTGTTCTATTTGTAGAAGGCAAAACTGCCTGGAACAGAAATCTTCTGTGTTGTTCTTGTACCACACTTCCCTTTGCTTTCAAGCCTTGATTTGCCCAGGATCAAGCTCCGTTTGACCTGTTTTGCTGGTATAGTAAGCTGGCTCCCTGATGTGGGGAATGAGAGGGAGAGCAGCTGGCTGGTTGCTTAGGAACTAAGCTTGATATCTAAATAGAAATGGGTGCCAAAGTCTGAAAGTCACTCAGCCTGTGGAATAAAAGCTCATAAATTGCGCTTGTAAAGGGAAGCTGTCGACACAGAAAACCTAGGGATTCTGTGGAAGAATGGGTTGTCAGGTGGTTACCTTGTCACCACTCAGATACCCCTGTGTATGTGTGTGTGTGGTAGAGGAGAGAATGTGACTCAGGTGGTAACCTTCAGAAGGAGGAGCTCTCTTTTTATTTTCTTCTCTGAGGAAGACCTGGGAGTGAGATGTACTCCTCTGACTACGAAAGGGACAGTTTCTCATTGCTTGGAGATTTTTAACATATTCTGTCATTTGGATTTTTTTGCATTTGAGGAAAATGGGGTTTTGGGTGTGTTAAGGCCAGGCTGAGGAAGGGCTGGGCAGTGCTCTTCTGCTCATCTAGCACAAACCTGCTTGTCTCCCTTGCTAGCGAAAGGATCTGGGTGTGAATGACGAAGGTGAGTGGTGTAGAATACTGCAGCTGCATTTGTCACAAACTGGTCCCATCTAGTAATGTTTGCTCAGTCCCTGACCCTTCTGTCCCTCTCTGTTATTTATTTTTTTAAAAGATGAAAATTTCTGTAATTTAAACTCCAGGACGTAAATGGAAAAAAAGATGCTAATCTCTGGTGGCAGGTCTCAATCCTCTTGAATACTGATGCCTGTTTGTGTCAGGCCATAGTAAGGAAGCCCATGTCTAGTCTGCTACACTTAAAACAACACATCTCCTACTTTCCAAAATGACTGAAAAGTTGGGCTAGCTTCATTTAAAAAACAAAAAGCTCAACTTAAAGGTGACAGTGGCAGTTATTTATTTAAAATGCTTAAGCCTTGGTTTTAGGGTCCCTAAAAGACCTAGTATAATCTGTTATTATTAAAAGCATGACCAGGAGAGATCTGGGTTGGTCAGGTGCCCAGCTTCAAGCAAAAGTTGGCCTTTTAAAGACCAGGAAGCATGCAAGACATAGAACTACTTTTCTTTTTTTTTTGGTTATTTTGGTTAGTGGGTGAAGTGAGGGCTTGGTCTTCATGTTTGGCTTCCCCATCTGTATCTGGGAGCTCAAAGTTAAAACCCACTGTAGGCAAATTGGAAGGGCATTGTTGAATCTGGGCTGGTCTCTTTCCCTTCTGTGAAATGCTAACAGCCAAGCTGTCTGGATGGGAGCCCAGATAATCTAAGTTGGCAAAGGCTTTTGAGAAAGTGCCAAGAAGGACTGAGCTTTTAGTATGTGACTGTAATGAAAAGTTTATGAGAGCAACAGAGGAACGGATGAGTGGTTTTATGTGGTCTTGACTAGATAGCTCAGTTTGTCCCTTGCATTGAATCCTTTTCAGAATGCTAGGAGAGTGCATGCAGGGATCTCCTACATCACCCTCAGCATTCTTTCTCTGGTCCTAATAGATGGATGCCAAGTGTCCTTCCTTTCTTGGGGAGTTAAGTCTGCTATCTCCTTTAGTGGCTACCACCACTCACTCCCTTGGAGTTTTCTTCTCCCTTGCTTTCACCACTTCCTTTTCCTCACTGTGTACCCCACCAAACTAGGTTAGTTCAAAGTTAAAAAGAGTCCACTGGAGGTAAATTAGGAGGGCAAGTCTTATGTTCCCATCGCACCCTATACTTCTGCTTTCAGTATAATCATTTACCTTGTAATTGCTCAGCATGCATCTTGCTTCACTACAAACTTGCTGAAGGTAGGGATTGTTTGTCCTAGACTTTTCTGCCAGTCCTAAGAACAATGTCTGGTACACAGTATGTTCTTAAATATTTGTTTCTAGAATAAATGAATAAACAAAAGTTATTTTATAGATTCATTGCTAACCACCATGGGGAAATAAATATGCGAAAGGGAAAAATTCTAAAATTAGAGGACTCTATTTCTAACTGCCTCTGAGCTAAGAACCAGAGTTAGGCTGGTAGCTCCTGCAATCTGGTCCTCCTTCCATACTGGCCCCATCTTTACTTCACAGCTATCTCTTTTGAGAGTCTGAAGATATCACCAAGGTAGAGCCAGGAATGAAACTTTCAGTGTAGGTGCCTGCAGTTCCCTTAGCTTCTATCCTGCTGCCCATGTCTAAGTAAATTTGGCTATTTCCTCAGATACTGGGCTTTTCTCAAGAAACTCCCTTTGTGGTATGGGTCAAATCACTGGTACTTAAAAAGGTGTAATAACACTTTTTCTTCGTAGCGACTTGATTGAAAAGCCTCTGCATCTTTGCTTTTCATTTCTCATCTTAAGTCAGCAAACTGGACTCCTAGAACTTAAACTCTGTGAAAGTGGGGTTTATTGTGTTTTGTACACTGCAACACCTTGCGCGCCTAGAAGCATACCTGGCACATGGAACTCAGCCTCTCAAATTTAGGATATAGGGAGGTCAAAGTTTAGGGGAAAAAAGCTTTGCAGCACCACCCACAGGTGAGGCTATTCTGCCAAATATCTTGTCCAAATACTGCTTCTCTGGCGGTATGTTTCGTCTGTAAGGAAAAGTATATTTCTCCAGATACAAATCCAAGGGTGTTTATTAAGTGCTCTGTGCCCTGTTTCTGGCTTCGCAGTCAAGAAGGACCCCAGGCTTCATAACATGTCAGCAAGGCTTGCCGCCAGGCAAAGTGAGGGCAAGAGCGCGCAACCAGTTTGCTAGCTTCCGCTCGCCCTCGTCCACTTCCGCCTCTCACTGTTCCTGAGTGGCGGACCGGGTTCTGCCTGGCCGGAAGGGGAGGGTCGCAGGCTGTCCGCACTTCCGGCGGGCTGTTGGGCGGCCTAACCTGTAGTTCCAACGCTAGGCGCGCCAGAGGACTAGTGACGTCACGGAAGGGAGAGAAGGGGCTGTGCCGAGTGGATGCGCATGCGCAACAGGACGTGCTCGCCGGCGGGAGGCAAGCGAGCCGCAAACGTCTTCCACTCGCTGGTGGTATTTCCAGTGTTGCGGCGGGGCGCGGAAGACCATCCGTCTTACCCGCAACAGGCAGGAAACCGGAAGGAGTTCCTGAGCCAGTGAGCCTCCAGCGGAAGTGGAAGAAGAACGTACGTGAGAGAGGCTTCTGCCTCGTTTAAGAAATCACGATGGTACGCTCAGGTGTAGGTTGTGTGGATTGGAGGGAGCCCAGAAGGGGCCGGCGGGGCCGGCAGAAGTTAAAATACAACCGTCCTGCAGTTCTAGCGGATTTCATTTGTTTTTATATAGGCCTCAGGGTGAGAGGGTTGGTAGTCCACATTCTAGTGTATATGAGTTTATTATTATATTGCTAGTCTTACAACTGTTCTCCTTGGCGGGAAGAGAAAGGGAAGCTGGCAGTGTAAAGAATGCATTTGGAACCTAGAGCTCTGTCCCAGAAGGGCAGTTTTGGGTGAAACGCTCTGAGTTTTGCCGAAGACTCCCCTGTCTCTTCTCGGCCCCAAACTCCTTAAGGTTTGAATCAGAGAACATGGTTTGTAACGGGTGAAATTTAGAATAGAAGGCAGAGAGAATATGAATGTGGACATAAGGCCAGATGGACACACGAATTTGGGACTAAGGGAGACTAAGTCAGCCAGAGAAATCAGGTAGCATTTGAGACCCCATCTTGTCTGGGCTGGGTCAGCATTCCAAAGCAGAGGGAGGGACAAAACAACCTTTGGAAGATGCTATAAGACTTAAGAGAAAGACCGTTGGCAGGTTTCCTGGTGTGTCACTGGCTGGTATAAATAATTCTTTGCTACTACTTTGTTTCTAGGCCCTTCCTCAAGTGTCTGGAGCTGAGAGCTGCAGCCCAGGGAAGGGAACTGTGTCTAGCTAAGGAAGCCATGGTTGATGTTGCTTCCAGATCTCATGTCAACACCTCGCCCTCAGCTGCTGGTGGCAGCTGCTCAGCAGACCTTGGGCATGGGAAAGAGACGTGGTCTACCCAGAGCCATCTGCCTTCATCTAGCTGGAGAGGTGCTGGCTGTGGCCAGGGGACTGAAACCAGCTCTGCTATATGATTGCAGCTGTGCAGGGGCATTGGAGCTCCAGAGCTACCTGGAGGAGCTGCAGGGGCTGGACTTCTTGACCTTGAGACTTCATATCCTTGAGATTGGAGAAAACAGCTTGATTGTCAGTCCTGAGCATGTATGTCAGCACTTGGAGCAGGTGTTGTGTGGTACCACAGCCTTTGTGGATATTTCCAGCTCCCAACCTCATCCTTCTATCTGCTCCCTGGACCAGCTTCAGGACTTGAAGGCCCTCGTGGCTGAGATCATTACACATTTTCAGGGGCTGCAGAGGGACGTATCCCTATCTGTCTCCCACAGCAGGCTCCATTCCTCAGACTGGAATCTCTGTACAGTATTTGGGATCCTTCTGGGCTATCCTGTCCCATATACCTTTCACCTGAACCAGGGAGATGACAACTGCTTAGCCCTGACCCCACTACGGGTATTTACTGTCCGGATCTCATGGCTGCTAGGTCAACCCCCAGTCTTGCTCTATTCCTTTAGTGTCCCAGAGAGTTTGTCCTCAGCCCTGAGGGACATTCTAAACACCTGGGAGAAGAACCTCAGAACCCGATTTAGGACTCAGGATGACTTTGCTGACCTCAGCATCTCCTCTGAGATAGTCACACTGCCAGCTGTGGCCCTCTGACTTTAACTCTCCTCCCATGTACAAGGTACTCAGTAAATAATCTTTTCTAGGTTGGGGATAGCAAATAGGAATCATCTCAAGTGCTGATTCCAAGCATCTTGAGAATACTAGGGAAGATTGCTGTAATCCCTTAGCACATATGCAAAGGGCATGGGAATAGGTAATGGTGGTAGTAGTGCAGATTTGCCATTTCTATACTAGGAAGTACTCTTTGCTTAACAGGGACATCCATTTTTCACTGGATGAGAGGTGGTGGAGAGAAAGGTGGTGGAGGACAAGCAGTGTACTTTGTACGGTAGCTTTGTAAATAATTGCCCTATGTGGGTAGTGTCTGCCAGGAAAATAGAAGGATTGTGGGTTTTTCTGCATATTTCTTTACCTCCAACTGAATTGGACTCTGTAGAGTAGACCAGGATGCTTAAAGGTCATACTTGTGATGTGATATGTCATTCAGGAATGAAATGAGAGTTTTGAGGCATGGTCTAAACAGGTGAAGTTTATTTACAGTAGGTTAAAAAAATAATGAAGTCAGAATTCCAGTTCAGTTGGGGGGAAAAACCCAAGCTATGAAATACCCAAACTTTCTGAGTTTTCCACTGAGTTCCTTGCTTTTCACCCAAGGCAGCTGTCACAAGTTATTCAGATCATCAGGTTGTCTTTGTTGGCCAGGAACACTGCCAGTGCTGTAGCAATCACCACCATCAGCATCGGGAGCCATCGGCCACATTGCCTCTGTGTGGAGGGAGAGGAGGGGTAGATAGAAGGTGGCCATGAGTTGGTAGGAGAAGATATAGGTAAAAATAATCTTCCTCTTGCTATTCTAGACCAGTGGAAAACCTTGGGTTGGTGGTGGAGAAAAAGCTTTTTACTTCACTGTCTCTCCCACTTTCTGTCACTCCCTTAGGATAAAAATAGTGGTCTCTTGCCCCAGATACATAAATGCTGATATGAATAATGAAGGGTGGAAAATAACTGAGGAAAATTATGTTCTCTGTTCATATGTCACTATCCTTGCCACCATGCTCATAGTACTCTAAAAGAATACCCTTTCATACTTTAGCTAATAGCAAGTCTTTCCCTCCAGGCTCAAGAGTTCCAGGAAAATTGGGCTTGGATGCATGAGCCAGTGTTTCTTTCCATGGTTGCTCTACTGTCAGTATTGTATAAACCAAGTGGAGTGACACAGGCTGGCCAGGTATTGGCATAAGGTGATAAATTTTCTCTCCAGGACTTGGCTGAAGAAGGGATCATCCCACCGTTATCTAGGGCTGTACTGGAGGATGGACCCTCTTACTCTGGGAGGCGGCTGTAGGCTCTGCTTCAGCTCTTCTCGACAGTGTTGCAGCTTACGCAGGCAGGAGAGATACTCGTCACTGAGGTTGTCTAACTCTGAATGCAGTTCTCTGCACTGGGGGGGAATATCACCAAGGTCATCATCATCAGTTCTGGTCTGGGACAGAATTCAGGTGGGGAGACTACCCTGTGTAAGTTACCCCTTCACTCATTTGGAATTTTTACCATCTTTCCTTTCCAGGCTTTCTCAGCAATTTCAGTTTGCCTTTCAACTGTTTCTCATGTAATTTGTCCAGAATGTGTTCATTTAAATGATTGATTATAACATTACATACTGTATGTGTAAGTGCTTTTATGTGACAGTGTATGTGCAAGTGCCTTGTAAATGGGGGACACCAAAAAATGAAGTTCTTATAGCACAAAAGACCTAGAAGTGAGCTTAGTGCCAGTCAGTTCCCCAGGAGCTAGTTGCATATGGATAATTCTGGGAATGTGTATGTATGAGAGAGAATGAGAATGTGTGAGAGAATGAGAATGTGTGTGAGAATGTGTATGTTTGTGAGTATGCAGAGAGGAAGAGTTTTGCTATTTATTTATCCTTTTTTTTTTTTCCTTTGGCAGCTGGTTGATGTGGGGATCCGAATCCATGACCTTGGTGTTATAAGGCTGCACTCTAATCAACTGAGCTAACTGGTCAGCCCAAGTTTTGCTATTTAAAAAGCCCTATATAAAGCTTTAAAATACTCAGTGTGGGACAAAGTTTGACAAGTTTATATGTTTATTAAATGTGTTTGAGTTTAGGTTGACTTTCCAAAAGGTAACTATTTAATAAAACCTTGAAAGAGGTTGGTATAAATAAGGAAGGGAAAAGATTGACAAGTCAATCCAGAAGCAAAGACATTTTAAACAGGCAAATAAATACCTGCAGGCATCCAATCATAATTTAAACTTTGAAATCCCTGCTCTCTGGTTGCCTCCCAGCAGTTTTTCCTGCCATCCTTCAGATGAGCCCCAGGCTACCTGAGGTTACTGTCTCACCTCCTTTTCCTTGGTCTGGAGCTGCAAAGTCTTCTTTTGCAGCTGGTCTCTGAGATCCCAGTCTTTCTCCTTCCCTGTACCCTCAGGCTCCTCTTCATTAAGGGAGGGCTTTGGACTCCACACAGGCAAAGCCTTATCTAAAAAAGCAGCCAGATTCTCAGTGACAGTGAGGCACGCACACTGAGGAAGGGCCCTGTCATTTAGTGAGAAACCCTAGGAGTTGGGGGAGGGAAGGGAAGAAGGGAAGGCCTGCCCTTGGCTAGACTGAGTGGAATGGAATTCTCTGACTTCAGGAATTCCCATTGGGACCCTGCTCAGCATGGACAGACAGCTGGAATTTGAGCTCCTTGAGGGCAGTGTTGGCATCTTACTTTTCTTTGTATCCCCAGTCTTTTCTAAGGCCAGATGCTTTTAGTGAATACATTGAATTTCTTTGGTTGTATGTCACATCCTTTCTACTTTGTCAGGTAGGCTTGCTGGATCCTTCAACATTATAATCTTATGTCCTCATTTCAAAGTGGTGAAAATAGCACCATTATCCTAAAATTTATCTTCGTGTGGTTAAAGATGGTTTTTCAGACACCTTGCAGCCTTCGTCTTGGTGAAAAGAGCACTGGACTAGGGGTCAGAAGTTCTAGATTGTTGTCTTAGCTCTATCCTTAATTTGGGTGACCATAGACCATCATTTTCATATCCATACTAGTGGGCATAATAATATCTGCATTGTCTATTATATTATACCCAGTGATTGTGAGGAGAAAACAAAAGGCCATGTGTAGTGGATAAGTGAGGAGTTATTGCCTCCTCCAGATACATGAGGAATTCTCAGGAAGCTTGGGAAGCAGACTATTTAGGGCTAAGAATGAGTTGACTCTTGCATGCTACATGATTTGGAGCTGGGAAGTTAGATGTGATTTGGAAAATCAAGTGTGCAAAAATTGACATGAAATCCTGAGTTCAAAATCAATTTATTGAAATGTTCAACACAAACATGTTTTCAGAGAGAGCAGAAATCCTTTTTTCACAGCTTATATGCCTCTCAGGATAGAAGGCTAACTAGTTAAGGTGTACTCGGAGCCAATGATTAGTCCTTAAAAAGCTCCCCAACATCCCTGACTTAACAGACTCCCAGAACTGGAGCTAAGAGGTTATGTAGCCCATACCCTGCCTCTAGGCAGCCAAGGAAAGAGGAATATTTTAGAATTTGTGGTATTAAATTTGCTGACCTTTCTTTGTTAAGAGTTTTTCCTGTTCTTGAAGTTGTAAGGATTGATTCTGAAGCAGACCTGTTGGAAAACACAAGGAACTTGTCTATGCTAGCATATTTACTAGAGCGAGTCTTTTTCCAGAACTTTGCCTAGAACCTTAATTATTAAAGATGTTCATATCTGCTAGGTTGAATTTTGTTCCCCAAAATTTGTATGTTGAAGTTCTAACCCCCAGTTCCTCAGATTGTGACTTTGTTTGGCAATAGGTTCTTTACAGACATAGTCAAGTGAAAATGAGGTAATTAAAGTGGGCCCTAATTCAATATGATTGGTGTTGTCATAAGAAAGGTAAATTTGGACACAGACATGCTCATGGGAAGGATAAAGTGAAGAGATAAAGGGAGAGGATGGCCATTTACAAAACCAAAGAAAGAGGCTTGGAATAGATCCTTCCCTAAATTAAGCTCTCAAAAGGAACCAGCCTTGTTGACACCTTGATTTTGGACTTCTGGTCTCCAGAACTGTGGCTCAATAAATTTCTTTTCTTCAAGTCACCTAGTCTGTGGTGCTTTGCTGTGAATATACTGTCATTATGCTCCTTCTACCATGGCTTTACTTTCAAATCTCTGCTTAGATGTTACCATAGAAGAAAGGCTTTCCCAGACGACCCTATATAAAACAGCAACTGGGGCCGGCCCGGTGGCGCACTGGATAGTGCGCTGCTTGGGAAGCGCGGCGGCGCTCCTGCCGAGGGTTCGGATCCCACATACAGACCGGTTCCCGCTCGCTGGCTGAGCGAGGCGCGGGAGCAACACCGAGGCTTGCAATCCCGTTGCCGGTCCCCGGTCCGGTACGGGGGCAACACTGAGGGTTGCGATCCGTTGCTGGACACGGAAAAAAGACAAAAGACAAAAAACAAAACAAAACAAAAAAACCCCCCCAGCAACTGTTTTCCCTTTAACCTGCTTTAGTTTTCTTCATAGCAGTTCTTTTTTTTAAAAAACATGACCAGTAAGGGGATCTTAACCCTTGACTTGGTGTTGTCAGCACCACACTCTCCCAAGTGAGCTAACCGGCTCTCCCTATATAGGGATCTGAACACTTGGCCTTGGTGTTATCAGTACCACACTCTCCCAAGTGAGCCATGGGCCAGCCCTTTCTTCATAGCAGTTCTTATGACCTGATGTATATTTATTTGTTTATAGAAACTCTACACTGGACTGTAGAGCTTACTTAGAATGTAAGCTTCATGAGGGAAGGAACTATCAGTTTTGTTTATTACAACAGCCTCAGTGCATATGTCTAGGTACCTGGCACTTAGTAGGGGCTCAATAAATATGTATTGAATAAGTAAAGGCATGGTTTTGAAGTGACTTTCTGCCCATCCAGTTCCTGCCCTGTAGGAGCTAGACAGTGTCTGCTGGTGTTCTTCCTCTCTTCTTCCTGTGGTCGTTTTGCTCTTTTAATATTTTTTTGTCTTTTTCGTGACCGGTAAGGGGATCGCAACCCTTGGTGCGGTGTCGCCCGCACCGCGCTCAGCCAGTGAACGCACCGGCCATTCCTATATAGGATCTGAACCCGCGGTGGGAGCATCACTGCGCTCCCAGCGCCGCACTCTCCTGAGTGCGCCACGGGGTTGGCCCAGGTTCTCTAGCTTTTATTCTGAAAATTCTGAAAAGCCCTTTCTCCTCTTCAATATGTAGTTTTGAAGTAGACTGAGGCATGTGTAGTGTGAGCTTTGAGTGCGCCATGGGGTTGGCCCAGGTTCTCTAGCTTTTATTCTGAAAATTCTGAAGAGCCCTTTCTCCTCTTCAATATGTAGTTTTGAAGTAGACTGAGGCATGTGTAGTGTGAGCTTATTTTCTAAACCATACCTGGTGTCAAAGGTCTGTGTGACATATTCATGTCCATAATAAGTTAGAATATGTAAAGTAAGAACTGCCATAGAAAACTCGATACTTCTTAAAATCTGCAAGTCTAGGAGAAATGCAAGTGTTGTCATTGGCATGGAAAGAGAAAAGTAGGAAAGAAAAAAAAAAAAAGAACGGGGGCTAATATATAACTTGTGAAGAGCCATGCGAATGACCTCACTTCAGTAGAAGGGGGACTGAAAATGCACAGAGGTAGAAGATATGCCAAAGACTGGCTCCCTAGTCCCTCCTCTGGATGCCTTTTGTGGGTCAGGAGACCCAGGAACACCAGAAAGCCACCTGTGCTACTTTCAGAATCTAGAAAGGAAACTTACTGTGCAACTGCTGTACTTTGGCCACCAGGGTGAGTTTCTGCTCCTCTGACCTCTTCAGTTGATCTGAAAATGAAATATTGCAAACCAAAATAGAAGAACCCAAAACTTAATGAACTCTACACCTGAGGATGGAAATTAGTAATAGGTGCTATCTTGTCTGTGGCCTCTAAAATGTGTCAAATGGAAATTGCTCTATCTTGTATTTGTTCCAGTTCTGAAGAGGTAAGCCAGAAACCAGGTACCTCAGATTTGTCTGCATCAACAATGTTGGGTTGAATTAAGGGTTGTATTTACTTACTATCTGGTCCTCTCTCTCAGCTGACACAGAGGCTGTGACTGGGAGACCTTCACTGTGTTTTGTGTTTCAACTGACCTTTACCTTTCAAATTAGCAATGTGGCCGTGACATGTGTGACTGATATAAGAGCAGCTGTGATGTGGCCCAGACGGATGGGCCAAAAAGGGCTCATACAACAAGATACTCTAGTGCAGCAAAATTAATTTTAAGTCTTGCATGATTAAAACAGCCCTGCCTTTCCCTCAAGGTAAAATGAAATCATAAAGCCAACCAAGCAAAGCGGAAGGCTGAAACCGTTCTCTCCACCCAGCTTCCATTCTCTGTGTTCACTCAGCCATGGTTCCCATGCTTTGAAGGCCTCCAAGGAGAATGGTACCTTGTAGGTCCTGGGTATCTGAGCTGCACAGGTCTTTGTCCCCTTGTAGTTGTTCAATCTTGGCCTGCAGTTCCTGGTGCTCATTCTCCAAAAGTCGCAGGGCCTGGTTCATCTGTAGGTCTCTGCTGTCCGCTCCCTATAAGGAGGGGGAGGGGCCAACAGAAAAGCATATCAGTGCTGGGGTGGAGGTTGAGGGCAGGTCCCATAGAAGAGGAAAATTCTAGAAAATATGGTAGAATTTTAGAGACAAGGAATGTTAGGGAAATGGAAAAATAGGGAAATTCTGGGGTTTTTTTTGTATTCTTTCCTTTGCTCTGCTGTGTTCCTCACACAACAGTGTATTTTACTTTTGATATTCACAGGGGACTTATGTCCTGACACCTTGGTAAATCAGTAAATTAAGGAATACCAAGTCATCGCTTTTCTAGATGTTTTTACTTTCTCTCTACTTCTCATTCTAGCACTATGAATTTTGGGGGAAGTAGGTCCATTTTTTACAGAAATTTAAGGTTAAAACAGCAACAACAACAGCAACAAAACCTCATAAGAGTTGCCTAAAAGGTGATGGGGAGAGAACAACAAAGGTTGAGATGTGGATGTGATGCAGAGTGACCAGCTAGGTTCACTCCTTTGGTAGGGCTCACACACTGTCTCTTATCAAGTGGGCTATTCCTCCCCTGCTTCAGAAAAATTATAAAGGATCAGCTTTTGAGGTGGATCTACAAAATTCCAAACCAAGTAGGTAAGATTATGCAAAGTAATAGCTAATATTTATTGATGGCTTTTATGCGCTAGCCATTGTGCTAGTGCTTTACATGGGTTACCTTATTTAATCCTCACAATAATACTATTATATAGGTACTATTATCCTATCTTAGAGATGAGGAAACTGAGTCTTATGGGGTTAGTTAATAACTTTTCTGAGGTAACACAGATTGGAAATGATGGAACACTTCAGAATGTCAAGGGTCTACTGTAATTGCTTAAAAAACACATCGCAGGATGTGTTAGTTAATACTCATTTGTAAATAGTGACATTTATTCTTTGCCAATAGTGGGCACTTCTGAACTGAATGCTCTGCTGGGATGGAGTTTGGAGAGTGGCTTAGGGATGACATTCTTAGGCCAATGAATATTTCATCCCAGCCCTTTGCATTTGGATAGTGTCATTCCAATGACTTAGTTCATTTGAATGGGCAGTGCAGACATCCTTGCTGAACTCAAAATTACATTTCAGAGCTTAAACAGTGAGTGTGGTACAAAGTAGGCAATGAGTGAGGAACTGAAAGCTAGATGCTATCAGCTGCCTTTGGGGGCCCCAATGCAGGAACAGCTTCTCTTATCACCACCCCTCCTCCCTATGCCCTGCCTTCTCCCCCAACCCCTAGTGCCTAGTACCTGCAGTTTGGACTGAAGCACATGGAGCTGACTCTCCAGCTCTCTGTGCCGGGTCCCTAGAGTCCTCCAGTCTTCCTTCAGAGCCTCGTACTGGCTCCTCCACTCTTCACACTTCTGCTCTGCTAGGACCAGGGACCGCTGAAGGAGACAAGAGAGGAGGGGGTTTCAGGGAGTTGTGCAGCTGGTTCTTTTTTTCCCCAGAGCTGCCGCAGGGTCCTCAGCCCCAAGGACTACGGTGCATCCCCACACCTGCGTGCTCTGCAGTTGCTGCTCTGCACTCATTTTCTCCTCCAGGACCTTCTGTAGTGACTCCTTGGCCTTCTGCTCATAGTTATTCTTCTGGTCTTCCATTTCCAGTAGCACCTTTTTCATTCCCCAAGGGGAGTATTTCTACAAATTTGATACAATTCAACAAATACACATTGAGCTTCTGTGTGCGAAACACTGAGCTGGGTACAGAAATGAAAAGAAGTTGGTTCTTGCCTCCAGGGCAGAGATGCAGGTAATCTGGTGGGCCTTTTCTTCCTGGCTAGAGTTAGCAAGGAGAGTCCCTCAAGGGATGTGAGGGGTGAGTGGGGGGATAAACAGTGCTCTAGGCTTGCTGGGCATTGTACCCTAGGCCTTCCACAGGCTCTTAAAGTGCATTGTGTCCAAACAACTCTTCTTTCTAAACTTGTTCCTTTCTTCTGGGCTTCTATCTCAGTGACCAGCATCATCCCCCATCCAGTCTCCTAAGCCCTAAACCAGCCAGTCATACTTCATTTCTCTCTCACTTTCTCCCAGTAGTCAATCTCCTTAACAGTTCATGTCTATGTCCTCTATCCCTTCTGCTACTTCCTTAGTTCAGATCTAATAATACTATTATATGGGTTAATGCAATAGTCTCTCTATCTTTAAGCCTTGCTTCCCTTCAGACACTTTTCAGTCCTGCAGTTAGAGGGTTCTTTCTAAAATGCAAGTCTGATCATGCCACTCCCTGCATAAATCTCTCAATAAATTCTCAGTGTCCTAAGGATCACATCCAAACTCCTTGGCATTGCTCCTACTTACAAGCCAGACTTTCATCCCATGCTACCTCCACCCAGGCTGAACTGCTTGCAGGTCCCTTAAGCACTGTGCTTTTAGGCCTCTGCCTTTACCCATATAGCTTCTGCCTAGAGCCTCCTCACCCACCCTTTTTACCTGGTTAACCTCTACTCATGATCAAAATTCAGCCCAGGTATCATCAGTTCTGACAAATTTTGGCTACTCCTATTCCCCCAACTCCTTATGGATTGGGCAGCTTTTCTTAGTGTTCATAATGTTCACATGGTATCCCCTGCATGCCTCTATTCCATTCTATTGACTTATTTGTCTCTCTTACTCAATTGTGAACTCCTTCAATTCAAAGGGCGGGCAGCATGCTGCTGCTGCTTTTTAAAAATCTTTGTTACCTCCAGGACCTGAGCAGTCCCTAGTAAACATAATGTTTTAAAATTAATACATTTGAGAGCTGGCTGGTTAGCTCACTTCGTAGGAGCATGGTGCTGATAACACCAAGATCAAGGGTTCAGATCCCCTGTACTGGCCAGCTGCCAAAAGAAAAAAAAAGAGAAAATGTGAATTTTAAAATTCCTCTTGGCTTCAGGATTAAGAAAGAGACACAAGAGCAGCTTGGCAAATTCACTGGGGGGTTAACCCTCCCCATACCTTTCATCTGTTATGCCCTGTAATTTTGGGGAAGACAGGCAGCTTTTACTGTCAATTCTCTACTACCCGCAGGGTAAGCAGTAGTCCTGATGAGGCAAATTTAGGGATCAGTAGGAAATAATTTCCATTTAGCTTTGTAATTGTCTGAAAACTTGGATTTAAATGAGTGACTGTATGTTTTGGGGATTTTCATTAAAAAGTAGATCCAGGAGTTACTGGTTGAGTAACTGTTAACCCCAATGGGGGTTGTCTCAGTTATTGGACTTAACAATGCTGATCACTGGCCAGCCGATTTATCCCCCATTGAAGAGAATTAGACTGTCGTTCTGGATTATATGTTGGTCTCTTATAAGCTTGATTGGCATTATTTAGTTCATAAGAGCCTGACAAAGCAGGTTATACTGAAAAAATAAAAGTTGTGGACAAGGAAACTTACAAACTATATATAAACTGTTTCCCTACAAGACCCCAACCATCTGGCAGGATTACCTTTTCTCTCCAAAGGGGAGAAGTCTGCCTGCTCCACTGCATTCTCTCATTCAACATCTCCCCACCTGTCAGGGAACCATCACTTCTGAAATGTGAAAGCTGATTTTTTTTCTATCTCTTGTAATCCAAGATTTGTCAATTAAGAGGTTACTAAAGCTGGTTAACAGTGTCACAGAAGAGCCAACAGTCATAGTCTTTTACTTTCTTTAGTGTTGGTACTAGAAAAAAGTTGCCCATGGAATGAAAATCATTTTGCAAGACTTCATTATAGCATCCAACTCATGTGTTCAAAGATTGGGATCTGTGAAGCTCTATCTGAGTGGAGTGAATCTTTACCAAGGCCCTCACCCTATAGTTTCAGATATTTTCAAGGTTCCCCTGGAATTGACAAAGTGGTTAGTGCTGGGATTCCTTTCCAGGGTGCAAAGGGAAGGATACTGGGAGAAAGGGAGAGGAGGATGGGAGATAGTGAAATGGTGGATTAGGGACCAAAGTGAAAATGGCCAAGCCAGAACTGGGTGAGTAGGAATGGCTATGTTAACCTCTGGTGGCATTTCTAGAAAGTAGGGTCGAGGTTAAGCATTCTCCTTATTTAACTGTAGGTAGCCAAGCTAGACGTGTCCTCCAGAGTGCTTACCTGGGTACAGGTGTACAGCTGGTTTTCTAAGGATCTCAGTTTGCCCTTCAGTTTATCTTCATTAAGTTGTCCCTGGAGCAAATAGGATGAGTTAATGAGTTGGGCCAAAATATAGTCTGCAAAGAGATTAACTCCATATTCCCAGCCCACTGTGCACCGCATGGTCAGTGCTCAAATAGTGTTTGTGGAACTGAACTCTTGCAGGAGGTAAAGAGGAGCAAGGATGACAAAGGATGTATAGGTAGAAGAGGGTCTTCTCTTTCTCTGCACTAGGACAAAGAAAAATCAGACTGGCCCCCTTTTACCTTGAGGTTCTCTATCAAATGGCCCAGGGTATCATAGCAGGGAGCCACCTGAAGGAAAGCTTCTAAGCTGTCCTTTCTCTCTCTCATTACCTCCCTCCCCTGTCTAGGCACTACTGCACTCCTCATCTCCTCTCAGCCTCGGACATGGACATTTATTTACCTCTAAAGTGTAGACCAGTAAGGCTAGAGGGGTTTCACCTTCTAGGGGGAATATTTATTTCTTCCATTACCCACCCTGTTATGGGCTCAATTGTGCCCCCATCCACTCAAATTCATATGTTGAATTCCTAACTCCTGCTACCTCAGAATTGGAGGTAGGGTCTTTAAAGAGGCGACTGAGTTAAAATGAAACCATGAGGGAGAAGGCAGGAGCACACATAGGGTCCCAGGCAGGAGCTGAGGGCAGTCCCCACTGGCTGGCAGAAGGAAGGAGCATGGGTCTTAGGCAGGAGCCATGGGCAGCCCCCCCTGCCTGTCAGAAGGCAGAAGTATGCACAGGGTCCTAGGCATGAGCTGTGGGCAGTGCCCACTGCCCAGCAGAAGGCAGGAGCATGCTGAAAACACCACTTTCGTGCAGGTAGTCCACCACAGCCACTGCCACAGCCATAGCTACCATAAAAATGGCTTGCTGCCACTGTACAGATGGCCCACCAGCCACTCAACTACATTGACACAGGAGAGTCACCAGAAAAAGAAGAGGAAGTCTCTCTCCTCAAAGGCCACTACAGAATGATAGAAGAAGCAACTGCTCTGCCAAATGACCAGACATAAATGTACAGTTACTAGAAGTGTGAAAATCCAGGAAAATATGACACCATCAAAAGAATGTGGTAATTCTCAAATACCAGACACTATAGAGCAGGAAACCCTTAAAATGACTGAAAAGGAAATCCAAGCAATGATCTTAAGGAAGCTCAATGTGATACAAGAAGGCTCAGTTATACAACTTAATGAAATGAGAAACAAAAATCTAGGATATGAAGGAAGAAATTTACAAAGATATTAATACCTTAAAAAAGATTGTAGTAGAACTCATGGAACTGAAAGATTCATTCAATGAAGTAAAAAACACAACCAAAAGCTTAAGCAGCAGGCTAGAACAAGGAGAGGAAAGTATTTCTGATCTTGAAGACAGTCTTTTCAAAATAACCTAGGTGGACAGAAAAAAAAAAAAAGAAAAAAAAGAAAAAGAATTTAGAAAAATGAAGAAAATCTAAGAAAGCTAGCAGACAACCTTAGGTGCACAAACATTTGAATCATGGTTGTTCCAGAAGGGGAGGAGAAAGGAAAAGTCATTGAAAAACTATTCAATGAAATAATAACTAAACTTCCAAGGTATAGAGAGAGACATGGACCTTCATATCCAGGAGGCTAAAAGATCCCTAAATAGATTCATCCAAAAAGATCCTGTCTGAAACACCATATAGTCAAACTGGCAAAGCTCAGAGACAGACAATCCTAAAAGCAGCAAGAGAAAAGTGCCAAGTCACCTATAAGGGAGACTCTCTATCATACTAACAGCAGACTTCTCAACAGAAACTCTACAGGCCAAAAAAAAAATGGGATGATAAGTTCAGAATACTAAAAGAAAAGACTGCCAGCCAAGAATAGTATACCCAGCAAGGATATCCCTTCATAAATGAGGGAGAAATAGTGTATTTTCCAGAAAATCAAAAACTGCAGGAATTCACCCCCACACAACCAGCCCTTCAAGAAATCTTCAAGGGAGTTGTGCATCTGGAATCCAAAAAACGATAATTACTACCATAAATACACAAGGAAGAACAAAACCCACCGTGGGAACAAAAATGCAAATGAAGAAGAGAAACAAACTAAATTTTATAATGTTAGAAAGCCAACAAACATCAAAGACAAACAATAAAAGGGGAAGAGAGGAACAAAAGATATTTGATACATCCAGACAAAAATCAATTAAATGCCAGGAGTAAGACAGTAGTTTTCAATAACAGCCCTAAATGTAAATGGTTTAAACTCCTCACTGAAAATACAGAGACTGACTGATTAGATTAAAAAGCTAGACCCAACTATATGCTGTCTTCAAGAGATTCACTTCACCTATAAAGACATACACAGACTAATAGTGAAGGTATGGAAAAAGTTAATACCACACAAATGGAAATCAAAAATGAGCAGGAGTAGCTATTCTTATATTAGACAAAATAGACCTTAAATCAAAAACCACAAAAAGAGACAATGAAGGCCAGTATATAATAATAAAGGGATCTATCCATCAAGAAGACACAACAATCATAAATATATATGCACCCAACACTGAAGCACCTAGATATGTAAAGCAAACTCTAATATTAAGCCTAAAGAAAGATAGATCACAATACAATAATAGTAGGGGACCTGAACACCCATCTGTCAGCACTGGACAGAGCATCTAGACAAGAAATCAGCAGAAACACAGGATTTAAACTGCACTTAAGCCAACTGGACCTGGCAGTCTACAGAACATTTTGTCCAACAACTACATAATATACATTCTTCTCATCAGCACATGGAACATTCTCCAGGATAGACCATATGTTAGGTCACAAATCTCAAAAAATTTTAAAATATTGAAATTATTTCAAGTATCATTTCAGACCATAACAGATTAAAACTAGAAATCAATAAGAAGCAAAACTCAGAAAACTATACAAATACATGGAAATTAAACAACAAGCTCATGAATGACCTATGGGTTCAAGAAGAAATTAAACAGGAAATCAAAACATTTCTTGAGACTAACAAAAGTAAAGACACATACCAAAACCTGTGGAATACTGCAAAAGCAGTACTAAAAGGGAAGTCTCTTGCAAAAACTGCTTACATCAAAAGAATAGAAAGATTTCAAGTAAACAACCTAACACTACACTTCAAAGAACTAGAACAACAAAAACAATCCGATCTCCAAATTAGTAGATGGAAAGAAATAACTAAGATCAGAGCAGAACTAAATGAAATAGAGACCCCCGAAATGATACAAAAGATCCATGAAAGAAAAAGTTGATTTTTTTGAGAAGATAAACAAAATAGGCCAATATCTAGGCTAACTACAAAAAGAAGAGGCAAGACCCAAATAACAAAAATCAGAAATGAAAAAAGGAGACATAACAACCAATTCCACAGAAATACAAAAATCATTGAAAACTATTATAAACAACTTTGCCAACAAATTTGAAAACCTGGAGAAAATGGATAAATTTCTGGACACATACAAACTACCAAGACTGAACCAAGAAGAAATAGAAAACCAGAACAGACCAATAACAAGCAATGAGATTGAAGCAGTAATCAGCACTCTCCCAACAAGGAAACATCCAGTACTTGATGGCTTTACTGCTGAACTCTACCAGACATTTAAAGAGGAATTAATACTAATTCTCTTCACACTATTCCAGAAAATTGAAACAGAGGCCATTCTCCCAAACTCATTCTATGAGACCAGCATCACCCTGATACCAAAAACCAGACAAAGATGAAACTATAGACCAATATCTTTGATGAACATAGAAACAAAAATCCTCAACAAAATATTAGAATACAACAACACCTCAAAAAAATTATAGACCACATTCAAGTGAGATTCATCCTAGGGACGCAAGGATGGTTCAACATACGCAAGTCAATAAATGTGATACACCACATCAAAAAAATAAGGGACAAAAATTGTATGATTATCTCAATAGATACAGAAAAAGCATTTTATAAAATTCAACATCCCTTCATGATAAAGTCAGCAAATTAGGTATAGAAGGAAAGTATTGCAACACAATAAAAGCCATGTATGACAATTCCACTGCCAATATCCTGAATGGAGAAAAGCTGAAAGCTTTTCCCTTAAGAATGGGAACAAGGATGCCCACTCTCACCACTCCTATTTAACATAGTATGGAAATACTAGCCAGAGCAATCAGGCAAGAGAAACAAAGGGCATCTAGATTGGAAAAGACGAAGTAAACTGTCCCTGTTTGAGATGACATGATCCTACAGAGAGAAAAGCCTGAAGACTCTACCAAAAAACTCTTAGAACTGATAAACGATTTTAGTAAAGTTGCAGGATACAAAATCAACACATGAAAGTCAGTAGCTTTTTTATACTCAAATAATGAACCAGCAGTAAAAGGCATTGAGAAAGCAAGCCCATTTACAACAGTCACCAAAAAAATAAAATACCTCGGGATTAGTTTAACAACAGAGGTGACGGATCTTTATAATGAGAACTACAAACCATTGCTGAAAGAAGTTAAAGAGGACACAAAAAAGTGGAACGACATTCCATGCTCTTGGTTTGGAAGAAGTAACACTGAAAATGTCCATACTACTGAAAGTGATCTACAAATTCAGTACAATCCCCATCAATATACGAATGACATTCTTCACAGAAATAGAAAAAAACAATCCTAGCATTCATATGGAATAACAAAGGACCCCCAATAGCCAACGTAATCCTGAGTAATCATGAGCCAGAGGCATTACACTACCTGACTTCAAATTATACTGCAAAACTATAGTAACCCAAACAGCGTGGTACTGTCATAAAAACAGACACTCAGACCAGTGGAACACAATAGAGAACCCAGAAATCAACCCATATACTTATAGCCAACTGGTATTTGACAAGGGCAACAGGACATACATTGAGGAAAGGACTGCCTCTTCAGTAAGTGGTGCCGGGCAAACTGGACATCCATATGCAGAAGAATGAAAGTAAAGCTGTACCTTTTGCTATATACCAAAATCAACTCAAAATGGATTAAGGACTTATATGTAAGACCTGAAACTATATAAAGAAAACATAGGAGAAACACTGGGAAATAGAACTAGGCCAAGACTTTATGAAGAATATCCCAAAAGTACAGGCAATGAAAGAAAAAAATAAATGGGATTATATCAAACTAAAAAGCTTCTGCACAGCAAAAATATAAAACAAACAAACAGTAAACAGAGCTAAAAGACAACTTATGAATGGAAGAAAATATTTGCAAACTATGCATCTGACAGGGGATTAATATCCAGACTACACGAGGAACTCAAACAACAGTAAAAAAACAAGTAACTCAATTAAAAAATGGGCAAAGGAGCTGAATAGGCATTTCTCATAGGAAGATATACAAATGTTCAACAGGCACATGAAAAAATATTCAACATCATTAGGCATCAGGGAAATGCAAATCCAAACCACGTTGATATATCATCTCACTCCAGTTAGACTGGCTAGTATCAAAAAGACAGAGAATAGCAAATGCTGGTGAGAATGTGGAGAAAGGGGAACCCTTCTACACTGTTGGTGAGACAGTAAATTAGTGCAGCTGTTATGGAAAACATTATGAAGCTTCCTCATTTATGGATAGAACTGCTATATAATCCAGCAGTCCTGTTGCTGGTTGTGTACCCAAAGGAATGGAAATCATCACGTTGAAGGGACATCTGCATTCCTATGTTTATCACAGCTCTATTTACATTAGCTGAGAGTTGGACCTAAATGTCCATCTATGGATGATTGGATAAGGAAAATGTGGTATATATATATACAATGGAATACTACTCTGCCATAAAAAGGAGTGAAATTCTGCCATTTGCAGCAATGTAGATGAACTTAGAGAAAACCATGTTTAGTGAAATAAACCAGGCACAGAAAAAGAAATACTGCATATCCTCAGTTATAAGTGGGAGCTGGAAAAAAAAAGAAAGAAAGAAGGATACAACAATCACAATAATTTGTTGAACTTTCAAAAGGAGAGATGGAACTGAGGCCACCAGAGGTGGGAAAGGGGGAGGGGGAGAGGGGGGTAGGGAGAAATTGGTGCAGGACCACAAAAAATGTTTACATTGTGTAATGATAAAAAAAAAAGTATGCAAAAAAAAAAAACAAAACAAAAAACAAAAAGAGGTCACGAAAGTGGGCCCTAATCCAATATGACTGGTATCCTTAGAAGAAGAGGAGACACTGGGAGATACTGAGGTAAGTCCATGTGAAGATACA